AAAATATAGAAGAAGTTTCAGAAGGAATTGTTTTTGAATATATAATTGAAGAAAATCAACCTAGAGCTTTTAAAAAATTAACAAAATATAGAGCATATTTAGAACGGATAGAAAGGTAAAGGAATATCGTATAAATAGTAATTCTGGTTAATGAATCGAGAGGAAAGAGAAGATATTGAAAATTTGGAAAAATTCAAGATAATACTATTGAATTAAGATCTAGAGAAATTATGAAACTCCTTGAAAAACTAAGAAGAGAAAATAATGCAGAAATGTGGGATAAGATCCTAAAAACTATAAGATATATCAATACGAGTAACAACAATACTTAATTTGGTTACAAGAAAATACTGAAATAAGATTCTCATGATTAGTTCTAAGAACATACGATCCAAATGGGAGAATTGTAAGATATAACCCTGAACAATCTAACAATTAAAATGTATAGGGCATATTTTGCAAATAAGAAAAAGTAAGTGCAAAATAGATATTTTAAACCCATCTGATGACTTTCTGGCAAGAATCTTCTGTGCGTCTAGCACTACTTGATTATTAATGGACCACCAAGACTATATTATCGAACTCACACTCGATGTGTCAGAAAAAAGTTTAACCAAAAACATATATTCTATAGATCTTTTCAATTTCTACACAGATCTTAAAATTTTTTAAAGAAAGCATGTTTTGATCCAAAAAAAATTTCCTAAAACGAACTTACCTAAAAGCCTTAAATACCAATTTTGTTGGGATTTTGCCTCACCTAAAAATAATTTGATAATGAAAATAAGAACAGATGCACAAAAATAACAAGAACACAGAACGATTGCTCACCTAGTTTAACAATAACCTAATCTAGGAGGCTCAGAGATCAACACGTTCCACTATGTGCATCAATAAGCCTTTCAAAGAGAATTCATTATAAAGAACCAAAACCAGGTATTGATTTTTGTCCAAGAATCATCGGACTTCTTAACTCAGAAAATTTACCCAAACTAACTATTCACTATGATCCTAATCTATACTAATATACAATCACAACCACAATCACAAGTCTGCAATTTACTGCAGCAAGACCATTTTACAAGGACCGAATCTGTAAAGAGATAAAATTTTATATCGAATAAAGATGAAAACATATACCAACTTATAAAGGATTGTGTTACTCTTTTTAACAAAGTTGACATTTTAATATGAAATCCAAATCTTAATATGTTATTGAAGCTCGTTAAGCTCCAACGAACAATTCAATCCGATTAAGATAAAAAAAAAAATTGAACACGCAGTTTTCAAGATTGATCTATTCAAATGAACTACTATCTTGCAGGGCATGTTAAAGGATAAAATCACATATCGAATGAAGATGAAAACATAAACCGACTTATAAAAGATTTGACTACTTTTCTTAAAAAGGTTGACCTTTTAAAATAGAACCCAATGCTTAATCTCTAGGTTAGATCTCCAGAAAAACCAGAAGGAAGAAAAAGAGTATTCAAAGAGACGATAGAGACAAAACCTGAGAGCCAGTAATTTGCCAAGCCTAATTCCTTCCCTAAATGGTTATAATTTTCCTTGTAATTATTAGTATAATCAAATAAAAATTCTACCTCGATTGGTTTCTGTAAGGAAAAAACAAGATGATGATCTAGCAATGCCCTTGGATTGTGTCGATTTGAAGGTCGAGCATTTGATAATTTGGCTCACAGATCAATCCTTCTTGTTGCATGTCGAACGAATTTTTGATATTTTTCCCATATAATCAATAAATTGTGGCAATCTGTAGCTTAGCACACGTTCCCAATGTCTATAGTTCAAACCAATTTTTAAGACAATTCAAATTTCACTTTACTCTTCCTTACTGGGTTAGCTCCCAAGGCAAATATATCAATTGTAGCCTCGGATGAATCTCTAAAGCCCAATAGGACTATATTCGAACCTAGGCATCGTTAATCAACTTTCTGAATCATAGTGAGAAAGATGTTGAATGACATAAAATTTCTATCTCAGGAGATTGAACAATACAATATACAAGATTTAAAAAAAAAATTACTCCACCGATTAACACACAAAAATATATGTCTATATTTTCTCAAAAAATAAAACAAAATCTCATGTACAATCCCTTTCCCTCTTTCTGTGTCGAAAAGCAAAGGCATGGATGTCTGGCAGAATGCTTTACATTTGACATTAATTAAAAGAGGAGTCAGTGGGTGCTGCTGTGATAATATTTCCTCTTTTACTTGGTAAAGATGGTGAAAAAGAAGCCTTTGGAGTTTTCTTTGATATAATGGGCTTAGGAAGAGAGTAAAGTTTATAACTATTTAAGCCAACTGCATAGCTTTTTGAAGCCTTCATTTTTCTTTTGTAAGGTGTCTCTTTCTTCACCAAATCTTCTATGCTCTTCACCATTGAAAATGTTGTAAAAGACTCTGATTTCCCTTTATAAAACTTGGAGAGCCCTCTTCTGCACAAGATCAAGTTTCACATGGTAAGAGAATAAATTAAGAGAGAGACGATTTAAGACATGTTTTGCATCCGTAGATCTAAGCAAACCCTCTTTCACAAAAGCCATAGGATCTCAATACTATAATATGGGAAAACTTGGATCAAGACTAGCTAAAAAATCTAGTTGATTTAGATCTCACGAAATGAAAACTACTGTCAAATGATGTTATTTAATATTACTTACTTGATGGGCAATTCTTCCATGAGATCTGTTAGATCATATAAACCTCCACTTGAATCTGCAGACAGAGAAGAAGATGCATCATCTGCCGTATCGATAGAAGAAGATGATGACTCATTTGAAAATACGGAATCTTCAACTGAAGAATCAGAAGATGATATGCAGTTCGCATTCTGATCATGTATTTTCATGTTAATCCCATACTGAAACCATGATTCTTCAAACACTTGAGATTTATCTTCTGCCATTGCCGAAATGAAAGATCGAGAAAATAAAGGGGAGAAAAAGATGAAGAAATTTATCTCTTTTGTCTCAAAAATTCTCTTTTTGTAGTAATAATACATCAACTTTGGTACTGTTATTTGAAATATATATATATATACACACACATGTGTGGACTAGGATTGTTTCCTTCTGGAACAATGAATACTTTGAATACAAGATAAGGGCATGAGATTTCCATACTATCAAGACAAGATAATGACGTGTAGTCGGACCTAGAATACAAGATTTGATAGACAAAAGAATTAATATTAATTGTGATTATGGGTTTTCTTAGTATTTAATTCTTTGAGATTTACAAGTGTCAAAAGGTGATTAACGGTTCAAGAAAAGTTTTGTGGGTTGATTGTGAGATTAGGTTTTCCCGCAAATTGATAAATTCAACACTACATTTTTACTTTGATTTGCCTTATCTTTAGATTCGACATTATCTCCTTTTGTGGTTCGAAATTATTTCTTGACTTTAGACTAGTACTAATTGAAATAAGATAAGCTCTCTAGATTGGTACCCATCCATATCCTAGTCACCAGGAACAAAAATTATTATATAGCTACATCTCTATATATATACATACATATACACACATGAAAGATTAAAGGTGACCCCCCCTCCCCCCCTAATATTTCAATTGATATAATTTTGGGTCCTCATCATTCAAAAGTTGGGTTCTGAGTTCCCAACATAATTGAGTCTTCACGAAAATGAAAAGCACGAGCGAATTTCAATTATTTTAAGATGGAGAGCAAAATTATCAAACTACCTGATTTTCAACTTCAAGTTACATGAAAGTCGCATACGATTTTAATGTCCATATTGATAGTTTTTATAACGTAGAGATCTCGATTCATATATTTAAATGGGTTAAAGAAGCCTTACTTCCTAGTTTTAAATAGTTTAGAACCAAAAACCATGTTCTTGAAACATTGAGGGACCCAGTCCTAATACCCCTCTCTATATGTATATAAAATTATGTGATAGTTGTTAAGGTGAGTTATGGATAAGTGGCACTCGAATAAAGAAAAGATGGCATTGACTAAGTTGTCTCACCTAACCTACATTAGCCTGAATCATATGAAACATTTCTAATTCTTTTACCGACAATAAGATGACATGGAATGGAAACCCATATCACACATATGAATAAATAAATAGGAAGTAGAGTTAATTTCAGTTATATTCCTTGTAGTTTGTATAGAGTGTTACTTTCAGTCCCTCGACTTAGGATTTAAGGTTTTACTTTTTCTTAAAATAAATACAACGTGAAGGCCTAAGGATGAACATGGTTTGATTTGGGCAGGTTGTGACAAATTTTCAAATCAAACCACTTAAATATTGTTTAGAAAGTCAAATATTTTCAATTTCTAAACCAAACTAATCCAAATTAATTTTTTCGATTTGGTTTGATTTAAAATCACGGTTTAACAAAGAAAAAATTAGCATATATCAAATAGGCTAAATTATAAACATTAGTCTAAATTTTCATATTAAAACATAAATAATATCATTAAAAATATTACAAAATCAAAAGTCTATAATTCTAATCATTATAATGTTACAACATAATAGACATATATTAATCTCTTAATCGATACTAATTAGTGCAATATCTGCAATTATAACATATTTCTCTTCACAATTTTAAGAATATAGTATATGAATTCATTGATTATAGATAAATAATATAAAACAACTCATAAAAGAAAAATGAGTAAAAAAATCAAATACGATAATACTTTCTATATGAAAAACACTTGGTAAGTTACGAACTATCTCATCCAAATATTAACGAATCACTATAAAAATTAGTTTTAGTTGGGAAGTATTTAGTGCTTGTTTGTCAACCATTATTGAGAAGAAAATGGTGTAATGAATAGTATTTTTTGAAAAATGTGTGGTTCAAATTGAAAGAAATTTTATCGGTTTTATGTGTAGAATATTTTATTATTTGAATATGTGGTAGATATTGATTACTGTAGAAAATAATTTTTTGAAAAATGGTAGACAAAGAGGAGCTTAGTTTTAATTGACTTAGATAAAATTTAAACTAATATATTTTTAGATTTATTTTATAAACAGTTTGGCAGTTTGAAACAATTTATAAAGATTGAACCTAAATCAAAACATTTCGAGTGGTTTGGTTCGATTCAAAACTAATATGTTGACTGATACCCATGTGTATCCAAACCAACAATTTCAAAAAAAAAAAAANACTCTCTCTAAGGAACTCGACAAAATAGTCTCAAGAGAAGGAGTGTCTCTGCTCTAATAACCTTTTAAACTGCTTAATTTTAAAGTTAAAGCAATAAAAAAAATGCTGCATGTATATTATATATTATTTAAATCTTGCCTCGACAACGATATTAACTTTTATTCATACAAACTAAAGTTTCATGTTCCTACTTTAGAGATAGACATGGATGAGTTAAACTAGACTACTAAGGGTAAAATTTGGGGGAAAAATTCACTCCTTAAAAATGCTCTAAATTTGTTTTGTACTTCATAATATTTACTAAAAAATAATTTAGTTCACCTCAAAAATCGATATCCAACTTAAGTTTAAATGTTAAATCTAATTCTATTTCTATTACTCTCACCGAAGTGAAACTATTATAACCGTGTCATCGTGCAAAGACTACTTCGTTTATGCACTTTGTTTATACAAAATTTCGAGATAAACATGACTTGCTATTAAAGATACATTACCACAAACAAGTGTAGTTTTAAAATAGAATAGGTACCGAAAAGTTATACTCTTAAAATAATATTTGCAACAAATATTTTTCTCACGAAAACTTTATTGGAATAATCGTAATGACGAATTCACTTGTCGCATTTTAAATTTTTCACGACATATATGTGTTTCGACGACATTATAGCGACAAATATCTTATTACTATTTTGTACTTATGGTGTCAAATGAATAATGTTACGAGTTTGTTAATGCAATGACGATCAAAATGTATCGCATAATACATTCCGCAAGTGATATAATGCGACAATGTAAGCAACAAACATATTGTTGTCGCAAAATTATTTTTACAACAAAATCTCTATTTATGCAACAACATATTTTTGCCGTGATTTCGGTATTTTTTTTGTAGTGTGATGAGGATTTAGGACGTATATGAAACAATTCAAAAATAAAGGATGAAGTGACATTGATTAAAAATTTGAGGATTATGGGGGAAAAAAGGACTTCTACAAATTATAAATTGTGGTTATGACTTGGGAGACATATTGCCTATTTTAATTGTGTTTATGAGACACGCATTGGGTATTGCCGACCAATTTCATACTTATCCTATAAATAATTGTCATTATTAATTAAGTACCTTTATTTGAAAACGTTTTAGTCCACATATTTAAACAAGTTGGGTTTCTTTCACCCAACAATTTGATTTAGAATTTATTGTTTTGAAAATTTGATTGGACCAACCTCAACAACTTAGTCACAACAAAATTATTACCAATTCAATTACATGTAAAATAAAAGAAAAATGAAAATCACAACAACTTAGTCAGACTATTTCACATTAAAAACGACTACGTCATAATTTTGTTTTCTATTATTTTAATTTTTTATAACCTCTAATTCAACAATTTTCAACCAATTCTTTTTCTGAGTGAATTCCCAATACGCTTAGAATATCTCTCCCTTAACCAAGTACTAATTTGAGAAAACGGAGGAGAAATAGTCCGCGTAAAATCTTGTAACCTGTCGTTTAACCAATTCTGATTTTTCACGGGTTCAAGAGTCGACTCTTGTAGAAAATAAATAAATAAATAAATAAAAATTAATCTAGGTTGATGAACACGAGAGCTTTGTCACTACCATTACTCCACTTGTTCAAAACTCACAGCAAGCCAAATGATCAAAAATTATATAACAATTAGAAAAAACACATAAATCAACATATATGCTCATAGTTGGTATATGTATTTGTACATATACACAAATCTATATTCATGCTTATAGGTAGGATATGTATTTGTATATACATATGAATTTGTGTGAGAGAGAGCAGAAAAGATGCGACCCTCAAATTTAAGTGGATTTCGAGTCCACGAACATAAATTCAAATTTGTCTTACCTTTTGAAAAAAATAAAAGAAATTAAATTTAAAAAATATAAAATGAAGAGTAATCTTTTGATTCTGAAACTCAATTCGAGAGAGAAAGAAATGAAAATTTGAGTTCTCATTCCTATTAAAACTTGAAATTGAATTTTTATTCTTGACAACTAAAAACGAGATGGATTGGTCAATTCCGCTTTTGAAACTCTATTCAACTAAGTCCTTGTTTGACAATCATTATTTTCAAACGTTTTTTTCTATATACTTATTTTGAATCATACATTCACATAATAAGATATTTTACATGTAAACACAAATTTTTTCCTACTTTTTAACCACATATTTTCAAAAAAAATCCACTATTCAAAATATTATTTTTGGCAAATAATGACTACCAAACAAGGGCTAAACATGTATTTACTAATAAAATATTAGCTTAATAGTAGAAAACCCCTTACATACATGACAATGCGATGTACTCTCCTATCTATTGAAAATTGTAGAAAAAAGGTCCATATTTGAAACATTTTGTTCGAAATACCACTGCCATCAAAAATCCTTATTTTAACTGTTAAAAGCAGTAAAAAAAAAGGGGTCAAAATTAATAAGAAATAATTGAAGTTGCAATACTCAATTTTTTTTATTTCTGTTTTTTTGTAAATTATATGTAGTTATAGCCAAAATCGTATGTTAATAACAATTTCTTTAATTCATCAAGTGCAATGTGTTGAGTGTACATAAAGTTAAAAAGAAATAAGTGTTTCCATTGTCTCTCCAAGAAAACAGAGTATACCCACTTTGATTTTCCCCATTATCCAACAGATCCAAATTCCATGGATTCAGATTCAGCTAAACAAGAAAAAGTATATGGAAAATTTTGAAATTGGCTTCA